TGGAAGCCTCCCTCACTGACGCACACACAGTCAGTCAGTTCATATCTGTGTGGAGATTGATGTTTGTGTAAATTGATAAGTACAGGGTTTGAGGGCAATCAAAACATTTTAGCCTGGATGTTTCACAGTTCACAACTCCATTTAAGGATTCAAATCAAATAAATTGACAGCTGGGTGCCCGACAGCACTGCTGCCTAAAATCCTTTCATGCGTAGCGGGTGACACACACACAGTCCAGCCCAGACTTACTGCTGACCATGGGCAACAAAACAGCCTGGAAAATGAAAATCAGGCTTTCAGATGGAATTTCACCTGAGAGAACACTGTACTGTCCAAAAGTCAGAGACCACCCCTCGTTTATTTCATTTTCAGCCAAAACAGCCATTAAGAACAAGTTATTCATTTTTCAGTGTCAAGCAAATAAACAGAAAACATATTAGTGCTGGACAATATGACAATATACATCATTATTGTGATAAATTATGTCACAATATAATACAGTATGCTTTTCGGAACATATCGTGTTTATCGTCAGTACTTGTAAACACTGACCAACTTCATGTTTCATTATAAGAAGAGCAAAATTAGTCCTGTTTAACTGGATTTAGTGACAAATATTGAATAAAAAACACTGTGTTCAGTTTTTGTATTTTTTTTTAACGTAACACTACTGGTTCTTTTTTCTCTGTTCCAACTAATCAGATGTCTGAAAACATAAACATTGTGAGATATTTCTTGAAGTACTGAGATATTATAACGTTGCCATATCACCCACCTCTAGTTTAGCCAAATTTAACCACCGCTAAAATATATATTTCACAGAAAACTACAAGAAGCCTCAACAACTAAATCTACTATCAGCTGTGTGAGTGTTCAATGTTCAGCGCGTCACTCTTTAGCTTTATTCCAGCTTCCATTCTTTTCAAGAGACTCACTTTCAGTTTCTCAAAGAAATCCAAAAACAGACTGAGGGATTAAGAGTTAAGTTAAGGAAACTACCATGAATCCACGATTTAATATCCTTAAATCTTTTAAAAGTACATGGATTATCAGGCAGATGTGCGGATGTAAATTTTAGCTTATAAACAATAGCTAAAGCCATGCTGTCAGTTAATAGAACCAAGAGGGAGCATATAAACATGACATAAAAGTGGCCCCAGTACTGACCCTTGTGGAACACCATAGGTAATGGTAGTTGGGGCTCACTGCATCCCATTCGATCACACTTTAAAGGAAAACTTTGACAGAACACCTCATAACCCCTCTCAGACCCTCGGCTGCCAAAATGCAATAATTGTTTAGAGCACTCTGTTAATGCCTGATACACTAAATGTCACTAAAACCTACATATCCCAACCATCCACACTCTGTATAATAGCATCATCTGTGGGGTAAAATACAATATTCTAAATTTCACCGCATTACACACATAAATATGAGGCATTTTTATGAATGTTGCCAAAAAAGCAAACATTGATCTAAATTTTCACCATTTTAGCATTATTTGCACAACGGCCTGATGTATAATCACTGAGAATAATTCCAACTTTGGTTTTACAGACCCCCCTCACCCTCAGTCTCCTCGCTCCAGGTAAATTAATAAAATTAAAATATTTCATTAATTTACTGTGTGTGTTTAAAATAACAAATATACAATGTAATTATTTTTTTTTCCTTTTTAAAATCACTGAAAATCAGTGCTTGGGTCTCAGGGGGTTAATTTTAAAAAAGAAAAAACATTTTAGACCAAAACAATTTCTCAGGCATGAGACAATGTAATGATTTTGTGTAATAACTTTCTGTGAGAGGCAGATTTTAGAGGTACTGAACACTGCAGATACCTGGTTCCTATCACCACCACTGTGAACCGTTCTGACTAAGCATTTCACACCAAATCACTCTGAATGACTTTGATTACAGTTTGAATTATGCAGAAATGTAAAAAGTCAGTGGTATTTTCCTGCAAAGCTACTTTAAAGGCAGATCTTAACATGGTGAAAAGCCACACTATATTTTTAGCCATAATAGACTCTTTGCTGCATTTACAGTGGCAGTTATGACAGCTGAGATATTCTAGAGCAGCATGTCGACGTTCACGGGCATTTAACATGCGGCACACAAACACAGACTAAGGCATTCAGTCTGTGGGGAGAGAGAGAGAGAGAGAGAGAGAGGGAGGAATCAGGCACCCTACTGATATTGCACACCTTTAAGCTGCTGTGGACTCACTCACTGTCTAACTCACACTGCTGATCTCACACTGAATCACTCACAGGATCACTCAGATCAATTCTCACTGTTTCTCATCAGGCAAATGCTTAACCCTCTGGGGTCCACAAACTCAAACTCACCTCTGCATCATATTCTCTGTCTCTATATCTGTGTCTGTATCTTTGTGATGATCCAGCTCAGAAATCCAGTTCAAACACTTCCTGAATCTGTAGAGTCGCCCTTTCCATACCATCTTATCACGAGATCATACGAGACTCACATCCGGAGTTATGAGCCTATGAAGAGGGGCTGAGATACACGTCATCTGCCTCTCACCGTGTGGAACTGGTGGATTGGTGTGTCCGTCTACATTCTGTGTGAAACTGACCAATGGACACTCAGGAAATCACTAAGGACTGACCATCACGCCGGAAACCCTTCATTCTTCATTCAGTCCACATCGGAGACTCATGTGAAACGGCGTGCAGAGAGTTTACAGCTGCTGAAGCTGCTGCAGCGGTTTTGGAAAGTAGTGATGAAGATAACGGAGCATTTAGATATGAAACATATGAGGATCGTGTTATATGAAGAGCTTTTAAAGGAGAGATTAAGAAGATATACACAAATCGACAGAATGACCTCAGACCACAGAGGGTTAAAAACGTTTTTGTGAGTTTGCACAACATAATAAATCTTAGTTCCAATTTCCACTAGCTTTTTAGTTACCAGTCAAAACTCTTAAGTCATAGCAACTTTTATAGCGTGGATTTTTTTTTGGGGAATTTTTAACATTTTTTTGCTTGTAGTTCAAAAATCATTAATCTCTAGATTAACATAAAGAGTGAAACTCAGAATAACTCATGTGTTTCTGCAGGAGTTTATAACAAACGCTTCATCTGAAGAATCCAAAACACTTTACAGCAGTGTTTTCCCTCCATGCCTTTAACCAACACATCCATCTATCCAGCTTCTCGCAGCTGAATTACCACAACCTAGCCGGGTCTACATATTACCCACAACGCTTTTCTCTAGCCCTCCGCTTTCTCTTTCATTGGGCAATAAAGAACGTCCGTTTTACGAGGTCCTTTCAATATGATCCCACTATGGACGGAGTATATCAACAGAGAAACAGGCAGCAGCAAACACAGCCCCTCGACTAAGAGTAAAAATGATTTGGAGATGATATTTTACAAAGTGCCTTTAAAAAAACGGATGATATAAATCAGCAGTAGCTTTT